GGTAAGTGGCAGACGCCTGGCTGCTCGTGTTGATGACATAATTGCTTTGGTTTTACTCTAGTTAAATAAAGTCGACTTTTTAAGTACTCGTAAAAGGAAGAGGGATTGTTGTTTCCCAGAACTGGGCTAAGAGAGATGAGTTCCCATTGGCATTCCTAGGGGCCATGGGCAGGACTCCCTGAAAGCCCCCTTCCCCCAGCGGAGCGGGAGCCAAACAGGGACACGGTGCCCAAGGCTCCGAGGGGGTGGCTTGGGAGAAGCACCCAAAGTGCAGCGCTTGTTTGCCAGTGCACCTCTTGGTCTCACGGTGCCATGCCCCGCGGGCCTGCTCTCCTAATGGAGACGCGGGCTCAGAGGGAAGGATGCTGGTCACAGTTGGGTAAGGAAAGCTGCCTTTGTTCTACGGGGAACAGGACCAAGGATAAATCCTGGAGTGGCAGAGAACTGGAGTTCCAGGTATAGGAAATACTCCCAAATCCTGGGCAACCACATGCCTGGTTCCAAGCACAGAGACTCGGTAAGAGAAGGCCGCGAGACGCACAGCACCGAACAGCCTGATCCCCGCAGCTAGAAGCAACACGCCGCCTTTGGCGCCAGGGCTGGTCGTCCTCTCGCTGACCTGTTTGTTGGGGGCCCACACGCTTGGCACACGGCAGGGCAGAGCCCCCTGCATGGCTCTCCAAGAGCGGGGTGGGGGCAGAGGCTGGCTTAGCGAGGGTACCCCCCCACCTTTCTATTTTGGGCCACAGCCTCCCCACCTGCTGCAGAAACTTCAGACACATTTGGGGGGGGGCTCACCACCCGCATGGGCCTCGGTGGAGCCCCTGGGGAGCTGGTCCCGGCCCCGCTTCCTGCTGCCCCCTTTGCATTTCAGAGCACTTAAAAAGTCTGGAAAGTGTCTTTTTTTTTTTTTTGGCAAATGCACCAACAAAGTACAAGCGGCTACTGTGATTTGCACTTATATTTATGCTCTACAAAACCAGCTACAGTGTGATCACCCACTCACTCAGACAAGGGCAACTCAAAAAGGTTGAGGATTTTTCCACCGAGAGACACGTCACCAGTTGAAGATACATCAGACACCCCTGTGGCGAGGCTCCTCCCGACCTGCCCAGCCCGGTCCCAAACCAGTGGCCATCCCCCCCCGCTGCCCTAGATCCTGCCAAGGCCTTGCATTGGCCTCCAGCAGCCTCAGAGGAGGTCCAGGCGCAGCAGGGACGGCTGGCAGCACGGCGCGTGCACTTGGGAAAGTTCATGAAAACGTGGTCTGGGTTGCGGGGGGCTGCCCCTAACCTGCCTCCTCCCAATATTCTTTGCATAGCTCTCGTGGGGACCCAGCCAGACATGGCCTGTGGGAATCCAGAGCCGGCTCTTGCTTGGTACCTGCCCTGCCCCCTTCCTACCAGCGCCGGAAATGTGCCCGGCACCGGACGCCCGTTCCCCAGCTCTCTCCCCTCACGGGCTGAACTCCATGGGGGGGCTCCGAGGGCCATTCCCCTCCCCCAGTTCTCAAAGCGGGAGGGCGGTTCGGTGACGAGAGAAGGAAGATTGGCACCAAAATTCAGTGGCTGGCTGAAACCCGAGTGGAGGGAACTGTGGGAGACCCGGTTGCTAAGGGAGCAGCGCAGCGGACATGGGGCGGGGGAGTTGGGCCCAGGGGGAGCAGAAGGAGCTTTGGGAGGAGCTGGCTGCTGCGTGGGATACCGGGGGCCGCGAAGAGTGGGAGAGAGTTGGTATCACCTCGGGGGGGGGGGGGCGAGAGCA